TTTTTTACCACTTTCTCTGACCTCTGCTTAGGGTTTAACTGTTTAATTAGTCTTTCTTTATAAACATGAGCCAAAGATATTAAACTGCCCTATATATATATATATATATATATATATATTTATTTATTATTTATTATTTCTAATGAGCTGCACAATCAGTCTTGCCGATGAGCAGATCTAGTGCATTCTCCAGAGGTGGTATCCACTCTTTCAGGACCACCACAATGGGTGAGATACCGTTGGTCATGTTAATTTGGACGTCTAGTTTCTGCCACATTAGATGGCAGCGCCGAGACTCTATTTGGATGCTAAAGTGCACTAGGAGTCATGAGAATGAGTAAAAGTGCACATGAAAAGTTGCGCTCCTTGGTTATATGTTAGGGAAAATCTTGCACAGTAAAATCCGTAAAATGTCTTAATTTAGAGAAAGAGGGAACTCTTAGTAGTTGCTATTGGTTTATGAAATAGATCGAACGTTTCCTACACAAGAGCAAAGGGAAAAATGTCCTGCTCTTAATTAAATGCATACTTCAGCCAAAAATAGATTTAAGAACAGGATGTGGTTTTTAAAAGTGTGAGAAAGTATTTCGTTTAGAATAATTAATTAGGAATAAAGTAGGAGTTGTTTTATAGCAAAGAAACTAACATAAAAAGATTAATAAAAGCTTTTTATGTTACATATATATATATAATAAATCTAGCTAAATATTAGATGAGATTTGGTGTAACTTTTTGGTGAATTATAAAGTTGTTTGGTGAAACATCTTGATTTTTTCATCTACTTATTTAAAAATGCACTTTAAAAATTTGTTTCTCAAAATCGAGCAAAAATGTATAGTCTCAAAAGCAAAGAGAAATGTGTGAGAGAAATTTCCATTGGCTGTCGGCCGAATTCAAACCAAGATCCCTTAAGGTAGTAGTAGGATACTTTAAATACTACAATTGTGCACCTCAATCCAGGGAGAGTTAGGAAGCTTTATATAGTACCCGCCGCAATGACACATCATGACATATCCTTCTGAAAGTTTAAATACGGTAAATAAGCAAAAAGAGAATTTAAAATTACCCATCTCCTGACTAAGGTATTGTGATCATATTTTCGAAATTGTAACTTTTTGCACCATTGAAATTAGAAATAATGCAAACTTTCTTGGCAGAATTAGCAACAGACTGAATTAAACCTGAGTGACATTAGTTAGCAGTTTTTGAGTAATGAAATTTCAAAAGAGAAGTCATATTTTTAAATTTTCTTGCATCAGGAACAATCAGACCAATTTTGTTCAAATTTCAGTTTTCGCCATTTAAAGTTACATAGTTTAAAATGAAACATTGTTTGTTTTTCAAATTTGTTTTCCGTATCAAAACATGTTTAACCATTATTAAATTGAAGAATAAAAAATGAAAAAGAATTTTTTAAATTATTTTTTTCAATAGAGATAAGTGAATCGCACAACTGCGTACAAAATTTTTTTCGTTTGACTTAAAATATTTTCAGAGATAAATTGAAATACGGAAAAAATGAAATTAACAATAAGTGACCCAAACTTTCGTCCGTATTTTTAATTAAACAATTTTGACTACCAAATTCCCAGGTTGCAGCTGACCCAGATATCTTGAAATAGTTCAATTTTATTTAGAAAAAGCGCGCTTTTATACTTTTTATTATAAATTTAAATTAAAACTGCATCAATTAATTAGCACGCTTAAGTACCATTTCTTGAAAATCCGATGATTAGATAAGAAGTTATTCTGATATTCCAATTTTCATTTCGCTCTCATTACATAGAAAGGATACTTTTCATCTATTTTGGGTAACCTAATTTTATTTTATTCTAAACGCACAGTGCACAAAAAAATAAACGGTCCACCCCAATAAATATTCCTTTTTCAATTTAAAATTCAAATTATCAGAAACTAATCGACCGATTTCACTCAAATTTTGTACTTTACACGTAAAATGGTATTCTTTAAAATGAAGTAAAAATTTTATGCTTTAAAATTCAAATTTATTTTTACTATTATTAAATTAAATGATAGAAATTATTAATTATTTACTAAAGGTTATTTTTTGAATGGAATTATTCTTGGATAAATGAATTTTATAATTGTATGCAAAAAGTTTTCTATTCACTTAAAAAGTTCTCGAGACATGGCGAAATACGTAAAAAATAGGTCCAAACTTTGGATCGCTCTCTTGACCAAACAATTTAGACCACATTGACCAGATTGCTGCCGCTCCTTATATTTTAGAGGTCAGAAAACGGAATCAGTCTAAAAAAAGGTATGTTTATACAGAGAAAGTACATTTTTCAGTTTGATTTCGTAACTTAAAATATTGTCTGCGCTAATTAATTAGCATATTTGAGATCAACCTCTTGAAACATTGAGATTGTGTTCTAGAACATGAAGATCCGATCAAGAGTTATTCAGGGTGGTCTCTTTTTTTTCGCTCTGTACATATATTTCACATATACAAACTTAATTTTGTTTTTAAATATGAAATTTATTTTCTTAGCTGTTCATTTGAAACAACTTAAATAGGAATACAAAACGCAGATGAGACGTTAAAATTTTAATTAAAAAATAAGTCTTTCAGCTTGAAATAATTCATTTTAAAAATTAACTCCTGTACTTCAAAACCTCCTTATCTCTTTATTGCAGTTTTAATGAAATATATTTATAATACGTTTCTCCTTTTCTGGCATTTTCTATCATTAACTTAAACTCACGCATAGGGAGAAATATGAACAGCTTTCTGGAGTATTAAATCATCATTAAAATTAAAGTATCACATTAATGCATTCTAAGGTAAGCTGATAATACGTTGCATCAACATTTCAAAAAAATATTTACCAAGACTTTTAAGGTTATTAACTCTCAAATAACTTTCAAGAATATTACCAAATAATGTGCGTAATCTTTCCAGTAAATTATTCTTGTGGTTTTAGTTAAAGAATTTTATAGAAAGGATTTGCCTTTCTTGGTTGAGCTTTTAATCTCTTTCCATCATCTTTTATGGAAATATATATGAACGTTTTTGAAACAATTTATACTCCATTCACTTTTCATCATTACTCATACATTAAGTAAAAAGTTATTAAATGGTTAAAAATCCATGCATTTTCGTGCTTCTCTGTCTATTTAATAAATGAAAAAGATAAGTTCATATGTATTGGTTTTCATTTTAAAATTATTTTCATTGTAAAACATATTATGAACCTTATTAATTTTTCAATATATTTGTTTACGCTTGGCTTGCTCCATTTGAATAAAAATGTCTTTCAAATGAATATTGTTGAGTAAGACAGTTTAAAAACCATTAATTTAAAACATTAATTATATTTTATAACCGCCGTTGAACTGCCGACCCAATTTTTGAGTTTACGACTACTAATGTTCAACTCCGTAGCCTTTGTAATTTTGTTCCCGATCCAGAAGACAAGGGAACAATTGGAACAAGTATTGACAGAAATTTGCCTTCGTGGAGAACTTTTTTATGGAACTAACCCGCATTTGCGTTATATGGAGAGGAAGACCACGAGAACCTCCCACGGTTAGGCTGACTGCAGAGGGACTCTAACCCATGATCCGTCTACCACTGAGGATATTTCACGTCAGCAATGTAGTCAGTGCAAGCCGGATGCGAATTCGTATCGACCAGCCATCGCTGGGATTCGAACCCAGTTCACCTCAATATAAGGCGAAAGCTCTATTCTCTGAGCCATCGCGGCTCAAATCATTAATTAGTAGAGTTTTGTGATAACAGCAAATTTTAGTGATATTAGAGAACGATTTCTAAGAACATAGTTGTTTATTATCATTTACTCATAAGCTAAATGAAATTTTTCAAATAAAATAAACTCTTTTCTTTGAAAAGAATTGACTTTAAAACTTCATTAGAAGTTATACATTTTCTTAATAAAGCTTAATCAAACGTTATCATGAATAATAGAAGACGCGAACTTTAGTAAACAGTTCTTCTTTAAATATATTCTAAAAAAATTTCAGTTTATTTCCTTGTAAATATTTTTAAAAAACTTTCAAAAACAAAGTAACCAATTAGGATTTAAATCAATTAAAATTGAACTAAAAAATGAATCTACCATTAAGCTTCATAACTTCAAAGTTAAATTTAATTTAATTTTTATACAAATAGTTGAAAAATTTAAAAAAGTGCAATTATGAAATAAATGTACTCAATTATGCATTTTTCTGCTTGATACTTTTTACTTTATAAATTTTTTAATGAAATTTAAGAATTGTAAGGGGAAAAATGAAAGCCGAAGACTGCTTTTGTTAGAAATTTCATAACTAAAGCTAAAGATTTAGAAACAATAGCTCGTAAAGATTTCTTTAGTATGGATTCATAAGACGGCTGAATATTCACATTTTCGCTTTTTAATTGATATAAATTTTTTTCGATGTAACCCAATTTGGAGGCACGGGTCAATTCTTATGAAACTCAATTGTATTTTTTACATCTCTTGCCATTGTCATAACAAGTTATTTTGCATTCATTTTTCTTGGAAGTACAAACAAATATATTCTTAGTTCCAAAACATCCATTTATTTTATTAATTCTGAGTTAAAAATCATATAATTTCGTGGAACAAAATATTTAACGATATAGTATTTCTATATCAATTGAGAATGGGATATATTTTTGTGCTGTGCCTAAATAAAGTAAAACAACGTGAGTAAATTTAGAGAAATTAGTATACTATAATTTTGATTCTATTAGGAAGAACTGAACATTCAGGCACGGAGGAAGGTTCTTCTTTATAGAACCAAAACTATAGTATGTTTATTTCTGTGCATTTATTTGAGCTTTATTTATGCTCAATTCAGGCTTTTTAATGCTTTATTTGCACTTCTTTTTGCATTTTTTCTATTTCAATCTAGTAGATGCTTGCATTTTATTGATCAGTTGCAAGTTTTGTAAATATCATGTGTTCTCTAATCATTTCTAAACATTTATTCTTTTTTTTTTATCCTCTCAGGGGTCCAAATGTGGGCAGTTCTTGTCCTGACAGTGATGGGTATTCAGGTGGCGTCTAGTTTTCAAATTGGAGCCTCAGACAACAAGTAAGTTACTAAAGTTTAAAAAAATTAAACTCTTTACAGTGATTTTTGTTAAAGTTATAGCATCTTATAGTTTAAAAAATAATAAATTTTGGCTTCACTTATTCCCTTAAGAAAGCCGACGTTGCTAATTTTTGTGCGAAGATCATCAGTAAACATACGAATATTATACTCTTATTGTTTTCAGTCAAATACAGCAGTGCGTTACATCAGGACACTGTAAAAATTGATACCTCGCCGAATATGATTCAGAACAAATTTTATTTTATTTTATAATCGTTGATGAAGGGCAGACCCAAGTTTTGCGTTTACGACTTCCAAGTAATTTCGAATAAGGGAACTCCTAGATCAAGTATTAGGAGAAATTTTGCCTTCTTGGAAGACTTTTTGATGAAACTAACCAGCGTATGCGTTACATGGAGATGAAGACCACGAAAATCTCCCACGGTTAGCCTAACGACAAGGGGACTCAACAGTCATCAGTCTACTACTGAGGATATTTCACGTCAGCACTGTAGTCGGTGCAAGCATGATGCGGAATTCGTATCAACCAGTCATCCTGGGATTCGAACTCGGCTCACTTCATTGAAAGGCGAACGCTCTATCCCCTGAGCCATTGCGGCTCCTGATGAACAAATCGAATTAATTATTTTTTCTTTATTATTTTGAAACTACGCTAGCTTTAAATTTTAAAAAAACTATATTATTTTGTTTTCAAGGTTTTAAAACCTTGTTTTATAACCAATTTAGTTATAAAGGGTTTCAAAACCGTAAAGGCAAAAGGTGCTTCTTACCGTGAACTTCATGATTAATTGGATGGTGAGACTGCTGCAGTTATTTTACCGTAATTTAAGAGTGAAAATTTTAATATTGTATAAGATAAGCACCCTAACCCTTAAACCATCCCACTGCTAACAGAATTAATTGTTATTATGTTAGCGTTGGGTTTTATTACTTATTATTGTTTATTATTATCGAAGATTATAGGAATGTACCGGACCAAAAAAAAATTATTTTTAAATATACAGTTTTTATTTGAAATCTTCCGTAATAGTATAATATACTTCGCAGCAAAAATTTTGATTTATTTAGATTTATGTTTTTCCTAAATTAAAATGTTAGGAATAAATATCCTGTTATTAAAATCGTGCAAATGACAGGCGCTGAACGCACTACCAGCATAAAAAAAATATCTAGATAGTATTAATAAAAGAATCTAATAAATTAAGACCAAATGCAACTGCTTCATTAAAAATGACAGCTCTTAATGCAGTGAAAGCATTATCTAATTACTTCACTCTCTCGTAATAAAGCTTCTGTTTTTCTATTCAGTTTTGCTTAGAAAACAAATGTCGAAAATAATTGCTAACATTGATTGATTATTTAAGAAGTTTGGAAAGAACATTTTTTTCAGAAATAATTATAATTGATCACAGTCCTATTTTTCTATGGATAAAGAAGCATTTATTTTTAAAAATTTATTAATTTAAATTTAAAAAGTGCAACAAATTGCGCATTAAATTCTTTTAACAGAACTAAATCATTAAGGGTTTTTTTTCATCATTAAAAAATATTTCATACAATACAATATCCAAAAAAAAACTAAGATATTTTTGTTTTTTAAATTTTTTTCCTCTGTACTTGAAATTCATGCATAAATGTAATTAAAATATCTTAAAATTAACTAAGGGCAAAAATAATCATATTTAAAAAAAATTGCCTCGTTCGCAATTAAGAATTTTTTAAGTTTTTAAAGTGTTCATTTAATTTTTAAACTATCAAAGTATAATCATTGCCATCTGCAAATATAATACGACGCATACTCAATGATCAAAAAAAAATAATATTTCAAAAAAGTTTCAAATTTTCTAGAAGTTAAAGCATTTGTAAATGTTTAAAATTTATTACATTCATAATGTAATTCATGAACTATTGTAAATTAAATTTTACTTAATTTAGTGTAAATTTTAATAAAAGTTTGCATTATAGTACGTAATGATTAAAGTGAGATATCCGTTATTTCATAGAATAAATACGTTTTTCAGTTAAAGTTATAGTTAGTGTATATAATTATTGAATTCCACGATTTAACTAGGTATTCCATCGAATAACGATTACTTGATCGTTAATTCGCTTACACGCTGCTTTTAGTCAGTTTTGAATCGCTTATAGCAGCTTGGCAATGACGTGTGTGCATATGCTACATTCCGTTGCTTTTTAACGAAGAATTTTGACTGTGTATTTATGTTAACTTTTGTTACTTATGCTTATCATTTATCAATTAATCATCTGCAATAGGGATAAAATGTATTTTCGAGAGATTTTAGCTACTTATGATCAATTGATTTATAAAATAACTATGAAATTTTTTATTTTTCACTTTAATGTTCTATCATTAGTTATTTCATTGAATAACTAGGTAAAGTATGAAATTTTTCATATATTATATACTTTAACTTACTTGTCTAGCTCTTCATGAAATACTTAGTTATTCCATCAAATAACTGAATTATACACTTTAACGTATACGTATGTAACATATATGTTATTCAAAAGTGCTATTCAAAAAAATGAATTCAAATTAAATAATTTTTATTCAGGGAAATATAAATTTGAAAAGAACAATCTATATTCTCATGAAAAAAGGATAATAAAAAAATATTTTTAACATAGATTTTGAATTATTAATGTGTGGTTATAAATTTTTCAAATTAAAATGAAGATAAAACTCAGAACTTCGAATGATTCCGCTCTTCTCCATTTTATGCTACATTTCACGCTATTTCTCTCCAAGCGGCCATTAACGCAACTGTCACGGCTCAGTTGGTGGTAAACAAAACTTTGAAGTTTCCTAGATTTTTGATATGTTGAGTGTAAATATACAATTTATAATTTATGAATTTAAACTTAATTAAATTGAATCCATCTTTTCTTCCCTGCTCACTGTGTTTCTAACAATCCTACTCAAATTGTCTAAGAAAACAAGTTGTTAGAATTAGGAGTGAGCTTTATTTCACAGATTACACTCGTAGCAAATCAAAATCTTTATTTTATTCTAATATCCTAAATCGTAAATTAAAATAATATTTAAAGGAATCTTTATATTTACCAGTATTTAAATTATTTTAGAAGTCCACAACTAATTCGAGAATTTTCTACCATTTTTATGCTAAGCATTTATTCCTTGGTTTAGAGCAGTGGTTTCCAACTGGCGGCCCGCGGGCCTCATCCGGCCGCGAAGCCTTTTTTTGTGACCCGCGAACCAAAATATATTAGTTGTCCTTTTTTTGAGGACAATCGTCGTAGAAAATTTATATGGGTTTTAAATATTTTAAGTTTTATGTCTTAACAATTATGATATCTGTTTCACATTAATTGTTTGATATACATAGGTGCACATTAAAGTTATTGTAGCCAAAATTTCTTTATATGCAATTAAATATTTTTAAAAATCTACTTCTTATTTTAATTTGTAATTCAATACTTTTGTTTTGTACAACCTAATAAAAATCTGACAGTAATATTTAATGTTCCTTCAAACATAAAAGAGTCCTATATAAAATTTTGATAAAGTTGCGGCCCGCCATTTGACTAGTGTTTTTAATTGCGGCCCCCGTCCTTATGTAAGTTGGAAACCCCTGGTTTAGAGCAACGGTTCTCAAAGGATGTTTTGCGGAACCTTAGGGTTTCGTGGGAGAGTTAAAGGGTCCAAAGACCATTTTAAAGTAGTTTTTTTTTAATAAGCATTTTTAAATCTGAAATTATATCTAAATTCAATCAATAATCCATCATGTACTTATAATTTTAATTATCTTTACAAAATCATTTAAAATAAAATATCAATAAGAGAGGAATGACAATTTCTTTAAAAAGAATTTAAACAATTATGAAAGGGACGTGCATTTATGAAAAAGTGCAATTGTATTTCAACTTGCATTTTTCAAATCAAAATAAAATAACTAAATTCGTTAATAAAGAAATATGTTTCCCCAAATAACCGTTTTTAAAGTTTATAGTGGTTATTTTTATTTCTCATTTCATAGCATTACAAAAAAATAAAAAATTAGGTGGATTTAGCTCCAAAAATTAGCTTCGAGACTGCAAACCCAATCCTTTCTCGTTTTAAATATAAAAAGCCTCAAAGTGAAAACAGTGTTTCAATTGTTAATATATTTAGAATTGTCTTTATTTATCTTAATTCTATTGTCAAGGCACTGTCGAAAAATGGTTGATTATTAAGGGTTCCGCATCCAAAAACAACAAAACCGCTGATCTAGAGAGATATTTTTGTTTTGCAGCAAGCATCTATTTCTGTAAACGTTATGTTGAAAATTAAATAATTCATTTTTCAGGTTTCTTGGCTTCTCCGACAAACAGATCTTAGATTATTTACTTGATAAAAGTAAATATGACAAGCGCATGCGGCCCGTAGGTAATTATATCATTCCTTATTTGTGGCTTATTTACTTTATTTACCTTCTCTTCCATACTACGTGACAATTAAATTATCTGACAACATAATCAAATGAGCATGTGTAGCACAAAATTTTTTCGTAATTTTGCTGTTATACATTTAAATTTGTGTGTCTGCTAAATATTTGCTTGAGCATGTACACTGAAGAGCCATTGCATTATGACCACCCTCCATCTATAACAGTGTTTCTTAACCTTTTTGTTATAATGGACCAGGGTTGGCAAGTTTTTGACACATGATGATTTTTACCGGTTTATACCATGGTTTTTACCGTCATGTCAAAAAACCCTCTGTCAAAAACGTCGAAAACTGTCAAAAACCCATAGTATTGATAAAACTTTATTTTAATTTGAGTTTAACTGCTTATGATTTAAAATCAATTCATTTTGGGGCAATAAAATTAGAAAAAAAGTTGTTAGAAGATATTTAAGAACAGATTTTTGCATTTTCCCAACATGATTATATCAAATCATACTATTTGAAGTAAAATATTAGGATACTAAACAAAATTTTCAACATTTCCAAGCATCATTTTGTTTGGCATATTACATAACTGAAGAATGTCAAGTCATTCCTGACTTAGAGCTTATTTCTAATATTTAAGAAATGCCAAATTTTAAATTCTTCTTTTTAGTTCTTGAATTTATTAATAGTTCCAAGTTTTTCTGTTTGTTTGTTTATTTCTAACAATTAAGAAGAGCAAAATTTTGAATCCTTTGCAAATCAAGCTATAATGATAAAAGTTAAGTATCACTATTTTCAATAAATATGTTACAATATTTCTGTATGAATGTATATCCTTCTATAAGAATAC